ATGAACATACGAGTTTAAACATGTGTCTCTTTCTTCTCTGAGTTTATTTCTTCCCCAAGAAAGATAGAAAGATAGGTATCCACAACGGGGTCCTCATGCCACAAGCCACCCTCAGTCTCAGCTGGCACACATGCCCAGAGCACTCAGGGAAGTCCCAGGACACAAACCCAGCACCCTTCCCACGTGGACCCCGTTGAGTCACTGTGAGGCCACCACCCAGCCCACGAAGAAGGTCTCTTTCGACGGCACTTTGGTTGTTTCTAGTCTTTGGCCATTATGAATAAAACTGCTTTAAGCAATCATGCATCTTTGTAAATATATGTCCTTTTCTTGCAGAAATACCTGGGGGGGAGCAGGTGGTGCAGTGGTTAAGGTACTGGACTCCCATATGACCAACTGCAGTTCAAATTCTGGACCTCATCACTTGAAATTCACACCAAGAGTGTGCGTATGTGCCCAAAATCCCAGGAGGAGAATGGAAAAGAAGGGGCTGTGGTGTGGCCATCCCCCATAAGGGTGATCTCTCCCTTCCTGTCTCACTGTCTCTCTTCAGCGACCATGCCCTATGGCCAAAAAAGAAAAACAAACAAACAAAAAAAACTATATATATTAAAAAAAATAGAGCCAGCACAGGCCAGCAAGTGGCATAGTAATTAAAGGCACTAGATTACCATGTGGTTGACTATGGTTCGAGTCCTGGACCTGGTGGCTTGCTTTCTTGCTTTTCCTTTCTCTCTTTCTCTGTCTCTCTCTGGTCAAATTAAAAAATAATAATAATGAACTAAATAAATAAAATAATTCTTAAGGAAAAGAAAAGAAACAATAGAGCCAGCAGGTAGCATGGTGGTTAAGGTACAGGGTCCTACATAGCCAATTCTACAGTTCAAGTCCTGGACCTGGCAGCTTGAGAAACAAGCCAGGCACCTGTGTGTTCACGCTCAAAATCCCAGCAGGAGAATGGAGGAGAAGGTGACTTGTCATTTTCTGTCTCTGTCTCTCTCTAGCAAGCCACTTGCCCTATGGCAAGAATCTAAAAAACAAAACAAAACAAAACCCAATAAACAGGGAACTCGCCAGCCCCATTCCCTTCTGCCAGGTAGCAATTCCTCTCCTGTGCTGCTGCTTTAGTTGCTCTCTGGACCCTCAGATGGTTTTTGTATATTTTGTGCAGTTTATAATAATTACTTGTGGGAGGGCTAGCCTGATAAAAGCTATTCCACCATCACTGGAAGTACCCCAAGGAGACTGCCTAGACCTTTTCTTGAAGTTTATTTATTTTTTCCATGAGTGAGAGAGAAAGAGAGAGAACCTCAAGAGGTTACTGACACCGTAATCCATCACCAGTCTGCTCCAGAATAGGAGGATGCACGTGCCCAGCAAACTCAGGGAGTTCTCCAGACATGAACCTGGAACCCCGCATGGAGGTTAGCCTTGCAGTGCTGCCTTTTTACCGCTGCACCACCGTCCACAGCACACCTCAGTACCTTCTGATAACTACACTCTAATTTCCCTTTGAGAAACCACCTCTCACCTTTACATGACTTGGGCCAATGAAAGTATTCCATTCACCCTGACCACCGTGACTAGTTCAGAGAGAGATGTGACCCATGTCTGGGCAGTCAGCTGAGATCTTTTGCTGGAGCTATGTGCAAAAAGACACCCACTTTTCAGTTAGTTAAGAGAAGAGCAGGGAGGGGCCAGCAGGTGGCATAATGGCTATATCACTGGACTCCCATGTAGTCGACCATGGTTTGAGTCCCAGACCTGGTGGCTTAAACTCATGCTGGGCACGTGTGTGTGTGTGCCCAAGATCCTGAGAGGAGAATGGAGGAGAAGGGACTGTGGTGTGGCCAACCCTCCTGGGGGGGGATTTCTCGCTTTCTGTCTCTCTGTCTCTCTTTCTGGAGAGCGTACATGCCCTATAGCAGAAACCTCTCTGAGCAGGGGGGCCAGCAGGTGGCACGGTGGATAAAGGAGCTTGACTCCCACATGGCCGACCGTGGTTTGAATACTGGACCTGGTGGCTTGCTTTCTCACTTTCTCTCTCTTTCTCCTCCCCCCCTCTGATAAAATTTATAAATAAATAAGGCTAGATACCATAATTTTTTTTTTTTTTTTTTTTTTTAAAGAGAAGAGCAGGAAGCTTGGCATTGTTGGAGGCTTATGGTTGCCTGAGAGAGAAACCAAGAGGGAAGAAAGCAGAATTGAAAGACATGGAAAAAATATGGGTGATAAAATACAGCCTTCAAAATCAACTGCTGAGCTGAACTGAATCCTGGAAAGCCCTTAAAACAGTCCTTCAATTGAAAGACTACAACAAAGTCTAAAGCCGGGCTATTCAACATCTTTTTATCCTGTCGGGGGGTGGGGGGAGTCAGTGACTATCAACACTTCCCACCTATAGAGCAGAGGTCCCCCCCTTTTTTAAAGAATTACTTAATTTTATTTGTTGTTATTATTATTATTATTTTAAAATTTGTTATAGGGCACATGTGCTCCCCAGAAAGAGAGACAGAGAGAGAGGGAAATGAAAAAGCAAGCTGCCAGGTCTGGAACTCAAACCTCAGTTGGCCATGTGGGAGTCCAGTACATTAACTACCATGCTGCCTGCTGGCCCAAAGTTTCTCCCCTTTATAAATATTCACTCAATATTTGTCAAGCACCTGCTCTGTGCGACGCATGAGATATATAGCAGCGAATGAGACGAATAATCCTGCCTTGCTCTTAGGAAATAGTCCAGAAAGGAACACAGACATCAGGCAAATAGTTCCACACACTTAGCTGTAGATGAAATAAGCAGTAGGGCACGAAACGAGATGGAGAGGGCAGAACAGATGGATAAATCTGAATGCAGGGACCAGCAGATGGCTAATGGTTAAGTTGCTGGACTCCCAGGTAGTAGACCCCAGTTTGAGTCCCAGACCAGTGACTTAAAACTCATGATGGGTATGTGTGTGCGTATGCCAAAAATCCCAAGAGGAGGGGACGGCAAGTGGCGTGGTGATTAGGGGCACTGGACTCCCACATGCCCAACCACAGATCAAGTTTCAGACCTGGCGGCTTTCTTTCTCACTTTCTTTCTCTGTCCCTCTCTGATCAGTTTTTTTTAAAAAAGTAAATAAAGTTAAATAAAATAATTATTTTTTAAAACATCCCAAGAGGAGACTGGAGAAGGAAAAAACCAAAAAGGGACCAGGAGATGGCTTAATGAATACATCATTGGACTCCCATGTAGTCGACTACGGTTCAAGTCCTGGACCTACGGACTTAAAACTCACATTGGGCATGTGTGAATGCATACCCAAGATTCCTAGAGAATAATGGAGAAATGACTGTGGTGTAGCCATCTCCCCCAGGGGGTGATTTCTTACTTTCTGTCTTTCCAGGGAGTGCACATGCCCTATAGCAAAAATCTCTCTCTTAAAAAAAAAAAGAATGGAGAAAAAGGGATTGTGGCTTGGCCATTCCCCCCCAGGGGGTGATTTCTCACTTACTGTCTCTGTCTGTCTCTGGTGAGCGCACGTGCTCTATAACAAAAAGTCTCTCTTTCAAAAAAATCTAAATGCATACAAATAGAGAACGGAAAAATTCTCAGGCAGAAAGGGCCTACCCAGTGCCAAAGAGAATACCCACAAGTAGACACCTAGTAGTGAAACTTCAAAGCCTTGCAGATAAATATGTGCTAACAGATGGGTGGAGAGGGGGGAGGGTAAGCAAAAGATACCAAGAATAACTCAAAGTTCTTGGTCTGAGGGGACCAACAGCATAATGGCTACGTCGCTGGACTCCCACGTAGTCGACCTCGGTTCACGGCCTGGACCCGGAGGCTTAAAACTCAGGCCAGGCACGTGTGTGTGCGTGCCCAAGATCCCGAGAGGAGAATGGAGGAGAAGGGACTGTGGCGTGGCCATCCCCCTTGGGGGGCGATTTTTCGCTTTCTGTCTGTCTCTGTCTGTCTCGCGAGCACACGTGCCCTATAGCGAAAAAAAACCTCTCAAAAAAAAAAAAAAAAAAGTTTAGTCTGAGAAACTAGAAAGCTGATAAGACCAGGGAAGCTATGGGTGTGTGGAGGGTAAAACTCAAAATGTTAGTTTTGAACCAGTTTGGGATGCCCATGAAGCATTTAAGAGGAGGTGCTACAGTACGGGTGAATATGTGAATCTGGCGTTCAGGGCCAAACTTTGGCAGAAGACAGACTCTTTTCAGAGTTAGCAGCACAGTAGATGGTATTTGCGTTTAAAGTGTGAAATAGATCACACCTAGGGAGTGAATAGAAACAGAGAGCTAGGATTAGGCTTGGAGATGCTACCACATTAAATATAAGGTAGAGGCGCAAGTATCAGCAGAAACGCCAGGGAGTCCGGAGGTTACCGGAGCGTTAAGTTCGCAAACCAAAGGAAAACGTGTTTTAGGGGCAGGTGTCAACTGCACCAAGTACAACACTGCTATGGGCTGAGCACTGGATTTGACAACCTGGAGGCCGTTAGTGGCCTCGGCAAACAGTCATTTTAGTGGAGTAAGAGTCCAAGCCTCACTGGAGAAGGTTCAAAAGAGACTGGGAGTGAGAAGAGATGCTACTGAGGACAGGGAGCAGCCTAATAGGACAAACGGGAGGCATCTGGAGGGTAAATAGGGCTGTTTTGTTCTTCTTAAGATGGGCACATCCTGAGAAATAATAGACTATAATAGAGTTCTTGGCCCACCCTCAGTCCTCGTCTTCTGGCACCTGGCCTGAATATCCCACCCGGGGCGGGGCCCCTCGCCAAGCTCCACGTGCCTAGTTGCCCATCCTCTCCCTGGGACCAAAGGGCGCACGCGCAGATCCCAAGGAACACAGGCGCCGGGCCCTCCCTCCTGAACCCCGCCTCTTCCCGCCCAGAGCGCCTGCGCAACGCCCATCGCGAGCCCCAAGAGCGAGGCCGGGAACTGAGACGAGGAGGGACCCTGGCCCTTCTCTCTTGCGCGTCTCCGGAGGTTGCAGGCCCGAGACCCAACCTCACCTGCCGAGTGTCGGACAAAACAAGCACGGTGTTCTGGAAATTGCGACGGCAGGAGCAGGCGGATCGCTCGAATGCCTTTTCAGAGGCTGCGGGTGGTAACGCGCTAACGTCCGAAGATTCACGGCCGCTCAAGAGCCACACTCTCTTTTTTTCCTTTTCATGAGCTTAGTCTATCGCGGAGACCCCGGTCTGCGCATGCGTGGTCCTTCTGTGACGTGCCGCACTGCCTCCTGGGAAATGTAGTTTTTCTTTGACACTTTCTGACTTAACGCGAACCTTAATTTAATAAACTGTTTATATTCGGTGGTTTCTACTTGTAAGCCTCTATTTAAGAGAAAAAGAAAAAAGAGCGAACAGATTGTTGTTAGAAGGATGACCTCAGAGAGTACAGGGAACCTAAAACTACTGTTTGAAAAAGTATTTTTTTTAATTAAAAATACTTGGGGGTACCAGCAGTTGGCGTAATAGCTATGTCGCTAGACTCCCATGTAGTTGACCGCGGTTCGAGTCCCGGACCTGGTGGCTTAAACTCCAGAGTGCGTGTGCATGCATGCCCAAGATCCGAGAGGAGAATGTAAGGGAAGGGATTGCAGCATGGCCATCCCCCCTGGGGGTGATGTCTTGCTTTCTGTCTCTGTCTTTCTGGCAAGCGCATGCACCCTATAGAAAAAAACTCCAAAAAAAGAAAAAAAAAAATACTTGGGGCTGGCAGGTGGTGTGGTGGTTACAACGCAGGACTCCTGTATGGTTGACCAGGGTTCAAGTTCCAGACCTGGCCGCTTGCTTTCTCACTCTCTCTTCCCCTCTCTGTCTCTCTCTGGTCAAATTGAATAATAACAATAATAAATAAAATTAAGTAGTTCTAAAAACATCTGGTCAACTTAATAATAATAAAATTAAATAGTTCTAAAAACATTGTTTTAATTAAAAATACTTAAATTCAAGCAGATCTTTAGACCCAGAATCACGTGTATAGGGATCCTTCCAGGAAAGAGTATTAAGGATGTGGACATGCAAACATCTGGCTACAATGATAGTTATCAAAGGCCCTCCTAGAATCTGTAACTCCTATAAAAGCCTAATTAGAAAGGGTCAACAGATGGCATAGTGGTTATGTCGCTTGACTCCCACATGGCTGACTGCAAATGATTTCTTGCTTTCTGTCTCTGTCTCTCTTTGTCTTTCTGGTGAGCACACACGCCCTATAGCAAAAACCTCTCAAAAAAAAAGAAAGAAAACCAGGACACATAGAGGGCCCCAGGAGAGACCAGGATCTATGATGGTCCACCAGGCGGGAGTCCAGCGACATAACAATTCCTCCATCTACTGGTCCCAGGGATGTATTTTTTAAGCTACAGGGCCAGCCATGTGGGATCTAGCTCCTTTAACCACTAGGCCATGGGGCTGGCCCTATTTCAATAGTTTTCATGCAAAAATAGGACTATAATATACATAATGTTCTGTAACCTGCTTTTTTCACTTAACAATATATTTGGACACCTTTCTCATCAGAGAGAGAGAAACGCAGTTTATCCGCACAGAGTATTGAATGGCTACAGAGTATTTCACAGAAGGATGCTGTCAGTCACTCACTGAGGGACACTTAGGTTGTTTCTGTTTTTCACTACTACAAACAAGGCTGAAAGAGACTTTCTTGTACCCACTTTACTCACCTCTGGTAGCATTTCTGTAGGAAAGACTTCTGCAAGTGGGACTGTAATATTGGGGTTTTGTGCATTTTAAAATCTTTTTTAAAGAGGTTTTCGTCTTAGGGTGCGTGTGCTTGCTGGAGAGAGAGACAAAGACAGTGAGAGGGAAAGTAAGAAATCACCCTGCAATCCCTTCTCCTCCATTCTCCTCTTGGGATCTTGGGCACGACGCACATGCATCCAGTGTGAGTTTCAAGCCACTGGGTCTGGAACTCAAACAATGGTCAGCCATGTAGGATCCAGCGACGTAACCACTATGCCATCTGTTGACCCTGCATTTTAAAATCTTAATGATATTGTCAAACCACCATTAAAGACAGCACCCATTTATATTTAAGATGATAGTGGCACCGAGCCAAGAAAAACTCCAACCACAGCTGCCAGATTCGAGGATTTCTCTGGACTAGGGCTGGGAAGTCATACAGATACCACCTGCTTCACCTCATTTAGGCTTTTTGTTTTGCTTCAGTAAACAGCAAAGGTTACCGACCCACCTAGATCACACATCTGGCTTAGGCCTGGGAAGGCAGAGGACCTCACCATGTCCTTCAGGCTACACTGGCTTTCCTGATTTGGATGCTTTAGCTCCTGGAATTTGGAGTGTCTTACTAGCTTTCTCACAAACAGTCTCTTGTTCAAATTTCACCACCTCCGGGGACTCTGCCCTGATCCTCTCCCACACCCCAAGCTGGGTTGGGTGCCCTCCAGGGAGCTACTTACCTCCCTGTGTTTGTCCCAGGTGTGCCTGGCAAACTCCTAGAATGTCACGAAGGTATAGTCATAGGTAGAAAGAAAACAAACTTGTGGCTGCTTGCACACACACCTGGACACCAGAGCATGGGAAAAACACACCTCTTGACTTATCTCATTGGGTCATCTTTTGGGCCTGTTAAATAAAAGTGATAGGGGTTGGTCCCATGGCCTGGTGGTTAAGAGAGTTGGATCACACATGGTTGACCGAGTCGTTCAAACCCTGGCCTTAGGAGCTTGAAAAACACACTGGGCTTATGCGTGTGTGCCCAAAATTCTCAAAGGAGGGAGAGATGGAAGGGAAGGGATTGCAGCATGACCATGCCCCGTGAGGAGGTAGGGGTGAGGGCGAGGGCGGTTACTTGCTCTCCTTCCCTTTCTAGGAGGTACACAGGTCATCTGGCAAATAAAAATAATAATAATAGTCCATTGTTTTGGACTAAGCTCCTGTGGTAGGCCCCAATAGACTAGATTAAAAATAAAAATGGAGTCTCCTGGTCATCGCACCAAATCTAAATTGTTTTCTGATCTGAGAAATCAAGAAAGAGAAATAACAGCCTAGTTTTAACCCCAGCACAAACAGAGAAGGGAGTGTGGCAAGACCACCACTTACTGGGAGATGCTTTTTCCTCTGTCTTACCATTTCTCTCTGGTGATCGAAACAGGCCAGTTTCTTTTCTTTTTTCTTTCTTTTTTTCTTTTTTCTTTTTCTTTTTTTTTTTTGAGAGGTTTTTGCTATAAGGTGCGTGCGCTCACCAGAAAGAGAGAGACAGAGAGAAAGAAAACGAGAAATCACCATGCCACAATCCCTTCTCCTCTCGGGATCCTGGGCACGTGCGGCGTGAGTTTAAGCCACCGGGTCCGGGACTCGAACCACGGTCAACTACGTGGGAGCCCAGCAACATAGCCATTACACTAACTGCTGGTCCCCAAACAGGCCAGTTTCAATCAGCTTAATAACCAAATTCCCTCTGTTTCTGTTTTAAGTTAATTGTTTCTTCCATGACCAAGAGAGACAGAGAGAAAGACAGAGAGATAGTACCCCCAATAGCATCTGGGCTCTGCGATCCCCCCCGCCCCCAGCTTCATGTGCCTGGCATACTCAGGGAGGCCTCCAGACACGAACCTGGAACCTTCCCACATGGGTTAGCCTCTGAATATCACATTTTACGATTGTGCCACTGGCTGGCGTCCCTCTACTTTAATCTTTACACCAACGAAGTAACCCCATGTTAATTACTCAATTGTTTTCCTATTGTTCTGTCTCCCTGTCCCCACCTTAGAAGGCAAGTAACTTTGCAACGACCAATGGGCTTTTTGGTCTCCATTTATATTTTCTTCAGCTCTTCTCTGCCTATAAAACCAAAGTTCTGCTCAGTTCATCAGAACACTTACTCTATTTTATGGAATGAAATGTGGCCTAATTCTGGAATAGAAAGTAAAGCCAACTGAGATCTTTAAATTGTTCTCATTCTGTCTTTTGGCAGGTCCTACAGGTCCATGCCAGCTGGGTTTCCAGAAGTTCCTTCTCTCTTGGCCACCCTCCCTCTATCCATTCCTTTCCCTAGGATATAGGCTTCCTTCTCCCAGCCCCTGTGAGATCAAGGACAGGGGGAGTTGCTTCTTTGGTGCCATTGCAGTGACCAATGTCTTTTTGGTCCTCTGTGGAACTAGGACTGGGCCTTTTAGTTTCCTCAGAGCAGAGCAGCTGCTCACTGAACAAACATGCCGAAGCTTCGTGTATTCAGCTGGTCATTTGTCGAGCTCTGACTGAGTGTCAGGGATTGAGGAAACAGGCAAGACTCCTGCCTTACTCAATAATGGTAGTAGTTAAAATAGAAAACATTTGGGGGACCAGCAGTTAGCGTAATGGCCATGTCGCTGGACTCCCATGTAGTCGACCGTGGTTCGTGTCCTGGACCAGGTGGCTTAAAACTCACGCCGGGCATGTGTGCGTGCGTGCCCAAGATCCCGAGAGGAGAAGGGATTGCGGCGTGGCCATCCCCCTGGGGGGTGATTTCTCGCTTTCTGTCTCTCTGTCTTTCTGACTGTCTGGCGAGCACATGCGCCCTATAGCAAAAACCTCTCCAAAAAAAGGCAAACATTTGGGACCAGCAGATGGCGTAATGGTTATGTTTCTGGATTCCCACATTCAAGTCCCAGACCTACAACCTAAAACTCACATTGCATGTGTGTGCATGCTCAAAATCCCAAGAGGAGAGAGAAGAAGGGATTGTGACATGGCTGTCCCCCCGGGGGGAAGGGGTGGTTTCTCGCTTTCTGCCTCTCTGTTTCTCTCTGTCTCTCTGGAGAACACATGCATTCTGTAGCAAAAATCTCTCTTAAAAAAACAGCAAACATTTATTGAACAAAAGCTCTCTTTAAAAAATAGCAAACATTGGGGACCAGCAGTTAGCGTAATGGCTATGTTGCTGGACTCCCATGTAGTCAACCACGGTTTGAGTCCCGGACCCAGTGGCTTAAACTCATGCTGGGTGTGTGTGCATGCATGCCCAAGATCCTGAGAGAAGAATGGAGGAGAAGGGATTGCGGCATGGCCATCTCCCCTGGGGGGTGATTTTTCACTTTCTATCTGTCTCTGTCTTTCTGGAGAGCACATGCGCCCTATAGCAAAAACCTCTCAAAAAAAAATAAAGGAAACATTGGGACCAGCAGTTGGTGTAATGGCTGTCACTGAACTCCCATGCAGTCGACCGCAGTTTGGGTCCCAGACCCGGTGGTTTAAACTTACACTGGGTGCATGTGCTTGTGTTCCCAA